GTCTGTCCAAATAAACTTCCCTCGCCCACTTGACAAAGTTGAACGCACAATGGCTATGGGGATCCCCCAGAGGGGAAGTGCTTAGGGAAGTTCACGAGTATATGTCTAAAAGTGGAGTTAAACGCAGCCCAGGTTTACAGCCATTCAACCTCCTTCTAAACATTTTTAGGTAAATGGCCATGGTTTCAAAAATGATATGCTTAACAATTGAATTTCGGTTTGGTGTGTGTTTACATACTTTTGGTCATGTAGATTAATTGTGATATCACATTTGTCTTCCATATTAGCTATAAAAAGATATTTAAAGATAATTTTCTCTGCCATAATTATTTAAGTCAGTATTACAGAAACATATGCATTTTGCTTTCAGAGAGAGGGATATTAGGTTCTATGTGAACTTAAGCAGTGTTTATCTGAAGGCAAGAAAGACATAAACAACATCCTCTATGTCAAGACATCTGACTAATAGTTAGTGAGTTGAGAAATTTATAAAGTTCTGGAATAGAGATATATTAAATATATTATATATCAAAGTGCAATAGAAGTCAAGGCAATAGGAGCGTAAAAGGAAGACTGAGCCTCTTTCTTTGGTTTTGTCACACATGCATTAGTGGTTTGATGCACACATGGAGACATTTGAACTTGACTATAATTAATCATTAAGCAAATGAATGTTGCCATTTTTGTTCCTGGGCCTAGACTTGACATGCTACGTTAGTGTTTAAAATCACAATAGTCACATAAAGCAATGCATAAATAAGCTTTTGAATGCAGAAGTGCAGAATCGGTGTCATAGAATTTAGATCACATATTGTGTAGTAATCAGGCACGATGCAATAAACTGACAAGTGTTACGTTTTTTTTACATACATAAATACATACGAATGTTTATTAATGTTTTGAATTAGCTTTTATTTTTATATTTGTTGTCTTCTTTTTAATTTTAGTTTAAGTTTTAGTAATTTTGTTATGCGATTTTGTCATTTTTATTGAACTTTTTTATTTTATTTTTATTTTAGTACTTCAACTTTTATTTCAGTTAGTTATTATTTCAGTAACATTTCTAATTTTTAATAGTTTTAATTTTAGTTAACAATAAAACACTGGTTCTGATTGGCTGATTGTGTCACATTTTCACAGACAGACACGTTGGTTGTGCCTGGTTAGTGCACAGTGTTAGATACTTCCTATGAAAAATTAAGTAGCATTCACACATTATTGAAATTATCGCTTTATCCTCTAGCCTCAGTTCAGTTGAGATATATACATATCTGTTGGGAGATTGATTGTTTGTCAGTGTATTAATGTTTCACTTAAAATTCATACTGTAGAAATGCTATATGACTCAATGCTGGATATCAATGCATATGCGAACCATCTTGCTGAAGATGTAGAATTTTTTCTTAAACTATAATTTGCCTCGCTGGGCCAACTGCACCAAACTCTGAGTGGTAAAAAAACACACGAATAAAGACAAATTTCATTATTTATGTAATATTGGTTTGGAACTCAGCGTTCATAGCAGTTGGCTCCTGGCATCTGTGCTGCTTTGCTTTGGGTGTTTTAATGCAATTTACACCAACCACTGTTTATCTGGATTCACCAATGTACTGTAATGTGTATGTTCAGAAGAGTTTGTAGTCTGAATTGTGTGAAACAGCTGATCCAAATGTCTTCCTAATGGAGAAGAGTAGCACAGACTGAATGACTGTACATATGTATACAAAAGCTCAGCTGTAAATGAACCCGGGTTTTTATTTGTTATGCAGGATAATAGTATCGGTAATAGTAATGATTTCTGCATCCCAAAGATTGTTAATTGATGAGGCATCAAATACACTACTGTTTAAAAGTTTGGGGTTGACGATATTTTTAAAGTTTTTGAAAGAAGTCTCACACACAGGCTGCATTTATTTGACCAAAAATACAGTAAAAACAATAATATTTTGAAATGATTTACTGTTTTCTTTTTTATTATATTGTAATGCCATTTCCAAATGTCACAGGATCCATCAGAAAATCTTCTTCTCCTTTTTTTTCATCAGAAATGATTCTAATTTTCTGATTTGGTGCTCAAGAAACATTTCTTATTATTATCAATGTTGAAAACAGTTGTGCTGCTTAATATTTTTGTGGAAACCATGATACATTTTTAGGAATTTTTGATGAATAGAAAGTTCAAAAGAACAGCATTTATTTAAAACATAAATATTTTGTAACATTATAAATGTATTTACTTTACCTTTTGATTAATTTAATGCATCCATTCTGAATAAAAGTATTAATTTTTTTAGAAATCCCAAACTGACCCCAAACTTTTGAAAGGTAGTGCTTATACACATTTGATCAGATTTAATCTTGACAAGACAAATATCTTTTTATTAGTATATTTAAATTCTGTAAATTTCTTATAAAGAAAATAATTGCCCAGGAAATGTAGTGTTTCCACGCTGATAAAGATTTAAAGTGTGAGATAACATATTCAGATAGTTTTAGGAAGATTAGAGGAAGTTTCACAATTTCTTCTCTGCTTTACTGAGAGACTGTAAATAATGATGTCCATTACTTCTGAATCTTAGTGTTGTTACATGTAGTACCATGTTTTATGCTAAATTCATTATAAGCCGAACAGCTTTTCATTGCAGTCCTGCTTCATGTCATTCAACATTCATAACCTCTCACATTCTCTGTCTCTAACTGGGTCAATCGTTGAGCTTGTCTGAACTCCCCAGAGACAAACCTTGAGCTCCGAGCAGCGTGAAACAGCGTTTAGCAACGTCTATTTGTATAGAAAAACGTCAAAATGTATTCTTTTATCTATTTAATAACGTGCTGGGACAAGTCTAAAACCATGTAGATGGCTTCTCACACATCAGTATTGTTATGAAGAAATTTTCTGAGTCAAAATTTATATCAGACTTTTTATTGCTGATAAATGTTACTCGTCATCATCAGCTAATCCCAGATCTGCTCACAGAAGTGTTACATGTGTGAATCAGGGTCAAACTTCAACTGCAAGAGTCTTTCACAAAATAGCTAGTGCAATAAACACCATAGGGACTAGTAGACTTAATAGTATTATGTACAAGCATGTATTTTGGGCTTTTGTAGAAGTATAAGTCTTTGGACAGATAGCTGAACATGCTGCTGTACTAACACATTCCTCTGTCTCATTCGCTCTGTGTGTGTCCATCGCTGTACATACTGTTGGCTGAGCACTGTCTTTGAGTCTACACTTGAAATCACAAATGGGCTAAATCATTTAAAAAATATTACACTGTAAAATGGACTTTTGTGCCTTTTTAACTATGTATGTCATTCTAAAAAGACAATCCTGCAAAGCTTGTATACAACCAAATCACGAGTAAATAATCTGAAAAATGACTAAATTGTGGTCTTTTCTCTCACAATGTGGTCCAAAATTGTTTTTTAATTTCTGTATTATTCTTATTGTGCATATAATTTTTTTTTTAATTACTTTATATTTTACAGACTTTCAGGTGTTTGCAATGAACAAATCAAACTAAAGTAACTGTATGTATGCAGTATGCTTCATTCTTCTTCCTCCAGACAGGCCGCTGATCCATAGGGCCGAAAAATTCCAGTTTTATTTCATCGCTTCACAGAACAGAATCCCAAAACTTCTGTGGCTTATTTATATGATTTTGAGAAATTGGAGCTGACTTTTCTTGTGCTTTTGGGTCAGTAGTGGTGTACTTCTTGGAGTTCTGGCATGGAAACTGCATGCCAAGTCTTGCTGCAGGTATTTTGCTGTCACTTGAGGGTTTTTCTGAACCTGCCTTCTAAGAAATCTGGTCTCAGAAAATATAACCACTGTTCCTTTAACTTTGAACTTGCAAACTATGCTTCTAACGGTGTCTAGGAACATTTTAGTGCATTCTCTTTTTGTATCCTGTTCCATGTTTGTGAAGGGCGATGATATCTTCTCTTAACTTTTTGGACCATTCTTTTGACTTAGCCATATTTGTAACATGCAGTCAAACATGACACTCAACAAACCTAGCCAGTTCAGATATTTCATGTGTTCTAGCTCAAGCACACCTGGTGCAACTAATGAAGCTCTTGATTAGTTGCATCACGTGTGCTTGAGAGACAACACCTGTTTTGCAGATTTGTGCTGTTGTGAGGGATTCTATTCAGGGGGTTGAATAATTTGGAGACTGCAGAAGTCTTAAAAGTTGCATTTTTAGTTGAATTTGGGGAAACCACATAGCTGAGCTATTTCAATTGCTTTTGTTTGATTTGTTCATTGCAAACAGCTTAATGTCTGTACATTTTGTAAATAAATTAATACTTTTATTCAGCAAGGATGCATTAAATTGATCAAAAGTACATTTTTTATTATAATTTTCAAAATTATGAAATTTTGAACTTTTGATCAATTTAATGATACATTTTTGATCAATTTTCAATACATACTACCATTCATGATATTTTTATTCACCAATAATGCATTAAATTTATCAAAAATCAAGCATAGCGTTAGTTCTGGCAGGTCACATCAGTCAAGCTCGCTTACCCTAATTAATTACCCTCCTCCATCCCCTGCTCCTCCTCTCATCCAGTCAGGACTTGGCCTTCTGATATTCCTCTTCGATTCAGACTCATTTTTCTTGAATCATTTTGTACATTACATTATTGAACATTAATGATTTCTGCAATACATTTATGTTGGTTCTGTTCTGTTTACCCTAAGGGGGGTTATTGCTGCTGTCCCTGCTCTTGTCCTTGCTAGGCTGCAGGGAGTTCTTGCCCAGAACAGAACCATACCACCAATCCAAACTGTATGCTAATTTTCAATCATCTTTGATGATAGTGGTCCTGACAGAAGTTGTATATGAAATTGCATTAAGCATTAAATTGATCAAAACATTTATAATGCTACAAAATATTTATTTTTCTAATACTAATACTAATTTGAACTTATCCAGCTCTTTTAACATTACTTGACTCATTTCTTTTTTCTTGCATTGTTACAGGAGATCGCAGTGGCTGAACCTTCACCGTCGTCCTCTCAGATGCGTATGAAGCGAGTTGACTTTGTGTCCGGTGTGTTGATGTTTGACGATCTCAGAGAGGAGGGTGCAAAGATTGGAGGTTCTGGCAGTGACGGAAGCCCGCGCAGTAGTGAGGGAAGTCCTGAGGGCGCTGCGTCTACCCTACTCGCCCCCGCCCACCGGGACCACGACCAGGAAGAGGGCTCACGCACGCTGGTGCTTGTGTCTGCTGGTAACGGGCAAGTCTCACCTGGAGACGGGCAGGGAACACTCGCCGCATTGACACCACAGGGAGAGCGGCCCGTACCAGATGAATCCGAACCCGGTACTCTTTCCTCTGTTATTAGGTCTGAGCCCAGACCTATCATCATGACATCTGCAGCTGTAATCACCAGCGGTTCTTGCTCGCCGCCTTTCACCAAGGTGGAACGCACTTTCATCCACATCGCTGAGACAACACATCTCAATGTCATGACAGCCAGACATCGCCCGCCTGGACTGGATGAGTTGATACCTAAGTGTGAGGCGACGGGTGGAGAGAAAGAGGAGAGGGAAGGGGTCAGTGAACGAAAGCAAAAGGAGAGCAATAGAGAGAGGATTACAGTAGAACAGGAAGAGAATGAGAGGAAAAAAGAAGAAAGTGAAGCTGAGAATGGCAGACAGGCTGAAGAAAAGGTAAATAAAAGTGGCAGAGAGGAAGCAGAGACTGTGTTTTTAGCTGAGTCACATGACCAGCCAGAGACTACAGCCATTGAAGAGGAAGTCTCCAGAGAAACCAAAATGGAAGTCGGACCAGAAGGTGTCGTGCCAGAAGTAGACCTGCAAAGGGAACAGGAGCAGGAAGAGTGTCAATCTCCGACCCCTGAACAAAAAAGAGATACAGAGGTGGAGGATGAGAAGGACATGTCTCCACCGGAGGGGGAGTCACCCAATAGAAAGCCACTCCCACAGAGGCGGAGCCGTATTCCTGTTCTTATGTCGGAGGAGGAAACGGGCTCAGACAAGTCATCGCAGAGTCAGGAGCAGTTGCAGCGAACTCGCAAAAGCCGACAACAACAGCTGGCTCGCCTCGTTCTGGAGCGTAAACAAACACATCTGATTCGTTCTCGCTCCGCCTCCTCGCCCTCCCCGACACTCTCAACCACTGCATCTGAGGATGAAACCCACCAATCAGACGACTCTAAGAGAGGAGAGAGAGGAGCAGATGGGAGAATTAGGAGCAGAATCCCTCGGCCAGTCACACCCATCAGGGGGTCTTCTGACCAACTGGGGGGCACGACCCTCCTGCAAACCCAGAGATCTGTGTCTTTCATTCAATACAGGTTGGTGGAACAGAATTGCAATTTAGAAGTCATTCATTTGAATCTACACTACCAGTTAAATGTTTGAACACACTGAATTTCACTGAATTTACATTTTTTTATGATCTTATAAACCTTTCCATCTAAAGGCCTATGGATGTGTGTTTGTGATATATGTATTTATATATCTGTCAAATATAAAATGTGCCTGCCAGAACCGATAGACTTGTGGGCAGTGGAATTTGAATCCCATCTCGTGGTCCACTATACTATATAAAAAAAATGGCAAAAATAAATATTTTATAAATTAAATAAATATATATGTAACAAAATTATATATATATATTATTGTATTATTTTTTTTAAGCTGGACCTTTTTTTTTTGTTAATACATAATTCCTTTACTCCCTCCATGGATATTTTTTTTTAAAAGAGTATAAAAAATAGTATAACAAAATTGAATGAATGATAAATATATATAACAAAATAGTTTTATGATTCTCTCCAGGTTTAACAGTACTCTCTAATTGTGGGTTATAACGCACAGAAAGTAAAATAAAATCAGGATATAAAAAAAATACAAATAGCTACCTTTATATTTTAGGACAGAGGCATCATCACATTTGGATGTCTGTTTATAAAATCTACTTGAAATTTCTCTCTCATAATGAGAAATGTAAAATCGTGAATACTGAACCTCAGATTTAGCTTGGGACTTTTACTGACAAACTATGTAAGGAAAATGATACAGACTATCCTATAATAGCTCTGAGTGATATGACTCATTCTTTCCTCTCTCCAACAGAACCAAAAGTTATGTCAATCCCAGGATTCAAAAGTCTGCAAGTCTGCACACAAATATCCATCAGCAGCCACCTAAACCTCAGCTCCGCCCCTCTAAAACACTTCCACCCCGTCCTCCATCTTCAGGCCCCTCCCACTCACAGGGAAGTCGGACCGTCACACGTACAATTACTCGTACCTTAACTCTTAATTCCACTCGAAGCTTTAGCACCTCCCCTCGGAGCCACGCCACCTCTCGCACCGACAGCCCCTCGCCTCAGCGCATTCGCCGACAGCCTATAGCCAATGAAACACAACGACAGCCCCAGCAGCCCAGACCTCCTTGCCCGTCGCAGTCCAAATCCAAACCTCAGGACTCCACCCCCAAAAAGAGCAAAACCCACCCATCAACCTCATCTCAAAAAGCGAAGAAAGACCCACCGGACTCAAAGACTACAACGAGATAATTACAATGCATTGAAGGACTTCATTCCGCTAGATGATCTTCATCCTCAGCATCATCATCACAATCACAATCATCAGTGTTGGACTGCACCTCTCATAACACACAACAGATTCAACCAACCATGTTCGTTATTCAGCCAAGTGACTGCAGCAGCTACTGAAATACCTCTGATGAGGAGAACCTCTGACATTTATTCACACAGTGAGTGTACAAAACTGTGTGAGGGGAGAGCGAGTTGTCATTAATGAAGTGTGTTGGACTGATGAACACACCTCATATGCCTTAAACCTGCAAAGGAAATAATTGCTGCCATCACAACAAAGCTTCCACAGGCTCTATCCTTCTGTCCATGGCGCTAATGCCACTATCATGTTCAATAATACAATCAATCACATTGTATAAGTTAGAATCGGGTTTTACTGCAGCTTTAAAGCTTTTAAATGCATTACTGTACATGCCATTTATTTTATTTGATTATCACTTCCCAAACTGTTTTTGACTAACATCACAATATCAGAAACTGGAAAAAAGATAGCTTTATTTAAACTTACAAAAACCTAAAATGTATCAAATGTCCCAAATGTACTGATTACTTATCTAGTTGGTGTTTGGGACAGCCTTTTATATCAACTCAAGTCAATTACTGTGTGCTAAAATTTGTATTTATCTCAAACATAATTATAATAATCATATGCACCTAAACTTGGTAGTTCTGTGCAGAATATGCTGGGGGGAAAATGTCATATGGTACATAAATCTGGTATTAATACCTAAATTTAATCTTGATGACTAACGTTGCTGCTACAGTGTGATGTCAATCATATAATCATCTTGGGCCCGCCGACTGTCTGTGTTTCTCTCTCTCTGATCAATTCATCCGTGACACTCGTCTGCTAAATTTATAACCGGATCCCGGACCAGCGGTATGCATTTGGAAATGCTCGTTCTGTTTAGTGTCTGTTGCAAAACTGTAGATAATGTAAGCAGTACTTTTGAAAAACAAATTTATATTTTTGTTCCAAAAAAACAACAACAAAAGATTAATGGATAAAAATAGGATTAACTTAGTTGCATTTTTCTCAGTCTCAGACTGATCTGTATGCAACTTTTACAGTTCAAAGAACACTGGAGGAAGCTGAGTGAAGGTCAAAGAGAACATCAAAGCTTCTCAAAAACCACACACACCAAGGAGAATAAAGCAGCAGGAACCAATAATGTGTGTTAAAGCAGCATGTCTGGGGTGTGTAAATGTACTCTAGGATGTTATTTTTTATGCAGTACTGCTACTCCCGAGTGTCTACAGCATGTGTTCAAAGTCAGGTAATCTGACGTGGAGTTTAAATGACTAAGGTGCTATAAGAGTTTTCCTTCATGCCTGCTCTAGTCATTGGTGTTTTTCCCCATCCTGTGCTTGGAATAAAACCCGAATATCCGTGAAGATTGTCAAATCAACAGAGGAGAAAAATGTCCTTAGTGCACACTAGCCAGTGTTATTTGTGAGTTAGCTTAAAGGGAGTGCTTGATTTGAACCATGCCCCACTGCAAAACCATTGCATGCTGTTGTTTGGATGAAATAAAAGGAAAATACTTTCTGCTGTATGTTCCAGAATGTTCCATCCGCAGAGAACTTTGAAGACTCTCTCTGCTCTTAATACAGACAAGATATGAGGAAAGACATCTTCTCGTGGTTGGTCATCTCTCTTCAGAGTGTCGCTTTAAGAGAATTTGCATGAATGTGTTTCATAAATCATGACTGACTAACTTATACTAAGGAGCAACCTTTCTGAGTTGTAGAATTAAAAATTATTACAAATTATCAATGATGCCATTCAATAAACGCAAGTTTCATCACTGTTTCGGTTTATGGTTTTGTATCTTTTTTTTTTTCAGAAAAAAATAGTGGATGTTCTGCATGGGGAATCTGCATGTCCTGGCTGTTGTGAAAGTGAGAGTGAATTGAGTATCATCTGCACAAGAAGTGAGCAATAACAGAGAAGCCAGACCACTATGTAATCACATCATCTTTGATTTTAGTGTCCTTCAGACTAGTTCAAGCATTACTGGTTCAAGATGTTTCTGTTAAGCATTCCACCAATTATTAATAATGGTGGGAAAACAATAGGCTATAAGGTTAAAAAGTTTGGGCTGCATTTATCCGTTCATAAATACAATAAAAACAGTAATATTGTGGAATATAAATGCAATTTAAATGTTAACTGTTAACTGAAAATTTAACTGTTTTCTATTTGAATGTATTTTAAATTGTAATTTATTCCTGTGACGGTAAAGCTGAATTTCCAGCAGCCATTACTCCAGTCTTCTGTGTCACACGATCCTGCAAAGAGCGTTCTATGCTGATTTAGTGCTCTGATAAAGAGAAAGTTCAAAACAACAGCATTTATTTAAAAAATGTGTAACATTATAATCACCTTTACTGTTTCTTTTGATAACTACAAATGTCTTAAAACAATCTTACTGACCCCAAGATTGTAGTGTGTGTGTGTGTGTGTGTGTACCTCATAAATATGTGACACCATTATGTAATCGCATTTGATCTTTGTGTCCCTCAGACTGGTTCAAGGATTACGGCCAGAAATTGTTGGATCTGTTAACCTTTTTTAACCAACACTTAAAACATTCATTCACTGAAAATTTCATTTTAAAGTCTAATCTCTGGACAGAACAACCTTTTCAAGCACAAACAGTTGTTAAGATGGGATTGGGGCAAGAAACTTTTAAACATTGTAATCTTGCCTCTACAGGTTTGGGTTCCATCTGCTAGTTGAGAACTGAGATTAATAGGTCTTTTTCTATAGTCAAACATGGGATCATTGATTCTTTACTTGGTCAGTTCATGTTGCTGAAGTGGTTTGTGTAATAATCTGATTGTATAATACCTGTCAGTGGTCATTGCAGTGATTGCACGTTAACTGTTCATCATCATACTCCTGTCTGATTATTCTGATTGGGATTTCAGTGTGAAGGGGCGGATCCCTGTGGTCAAATGTCTCTCTCGGTTTCTTCTGAGGATTTTACAGCAAAGGCTCTAATTCTAAATTCTGATTGTGCTTGGTGTTGTATATCATGGCAGTATTGTAGATACATTGTACCGTACATTATACTGTAGGGTAAACGGATGGATAGTGAGCAGAAATGTAAAAAAAAAAAAAAGTTACGCAACAGCCAAAAACAGCATATCTCTCTATGACTGAAGTAGGCAGAGAGGGAGGAAAAAAGAAGGGAGTTTGGGGAGGGACTTCATTTAGCCTTTATTTGAAGTACTTTTCATTGTTATCCTCCAATATCCTTCTGTCTGTGTTTTGACTCTGCTTGTTGAAGCTCTTCACCATCACGGCACTCTACAAAGATCATCCACCCACTTCGTAGTCAAGCTGAATAAGAGGTAAATGTCTTTTCCATCTTGGATGTTTTTTCGTTTGTTTTTTAACACTGATGGAATAGTATCATAGTGTGTTTAAAAGCACAAAAACAGAGACTGACACAAAATACCCATATCATTTTTAATCAGTGTGATCATTTATTGAATAAAAGTCAACATCTTCACAATGGACCATTTTTACAGAAAATATTCTTTTCGTTTTAAGTCTTGACTGGAAGCTGAAAGTGTTGATTAATGTGAAGATTTTTTGTTGTTGTTGAGAGGATAAGCAACTGGACAATCGAATCATTAAAAAACGAATACATATTTGCAGTGTCTGCCATTATAAATAATGGAATGAAACCATTTATATCGAACAACTACTATTCTAAACTTTAATAAAATGTGTCCAGCTGGTGTGTGTCTCAACAGCTGTTCTCAGCATTCAAACAGAGTTCTGTACCCCCTGCGGCCCATTGCCTGCTATGAGGCTAATGTAGGGTGAAGGAATGGACTTAAAAAGAGTTCATGCTTCACAGAGTCCAACAACCCATACGTTTATTACAGAATAATTGAAATGGTCTGTGATGAAGTTGTATCACAAACAGTCTCAACGATTTACTAATTGATTTAGGATCAAATTATTTGTCTCTATATAGTCAATGATGCAACCTATATTTGGGATTAGAGGGGTATATTTTAGGAATGCATCTAGCAATGATCCTTGCTCTGAATTGTTCTTACAAGTATCTATTAATAAATATTATTTTAACCCTTAAATGCATACCTCAGGTCTTTAGTGACCCGGGACGTCATTCACTGCCCTCCCCCTCATTCATCTTTTTAAAGATAGACATCAGCCTTCTTAGTATTCTTCAATGAAAACATTATAAACAATATAACAAGAAAAAATATATATAATTAAAAAAGAATGCCTGTTTTCTAATGACCCGAGGTGTGTAACAGTGTAAGTATATTTTTTTCTGCAAAACAATAATTGAATCTTTGATGACTGAATGTGCAATTCTTTATCTTTCTTTATTTGAGCATCTGGGTTCCACAAAGTTCTATATAGTAACAAGTTTCAGCACAGTAGGCAAAACTAAAGAAGGATACATGCGCAATGAATAAGTAAGTAAATAAAATGTGAATATGATTGGTAGGAAGATACGTGGTGGTAGGAAGGATGAGAAGACGAGGATGATCAGGAAAACAGGATTTAATTAACAAAACTCAGGAACCACAACACACGCTATACATTAACGAGAACGGACAAAGACTGAATGAACTGAGGGAAACTAAATACAGAGACTGATGACTTTAGGTGTGTTCGACATCGGCTGCGGCTGGATGTAACTGATCGGCGAGAGTAGCCGCGTGCAGGCAGGGAGGAGCTGCAAACGGAGACGTGAAGTCGGACACTTTCTGGTTCCCGTAGTGACCGCTCACGTGGTGTTTGTAGCCTATACTTTACCACAGCTGAAGTGAAATAAATTCAATATTTGCCAAATGCACAGATGTTTCAGACACATTTTCATTCAATACTTTATGTACTTGTACTGCTTCATACTGCATCTGTTTGAACAAGAATAAAATTCAAAATAGCCACTATCAATGAAGTGCAGTCGACGTTTTTTAATCACTTTTATTTTGATAAACATAACACAATATAGCCTAACACAATATAGCCTAACATCACGACTACATGAAAAGAGTGTTTACTGTTATAAAAAACTGATTTGTGAGCGGAACTAAAGGTGTGAGAATAAACACGAAACGCACGTGATCGTTGTCATGCGGTGAATCCGGCCAATCGTGGATTCTCCGGCTGCTCTCGAATCGCTCTCGCGGTATTTTGATGGCATAGGTCACAGTCACGTGGCGTCGGCGCTGTATCAAGTCGGACAACATTTCTAACCGGCATGCACTGCTTCAAGTCAGCCGCCGATTGGTCTGCGCAGAGCTGCATGAAGTCGAACAAGCCTAATAATGAATAGGAGACAGGTGACATGGATGAAGATAATTAACTAAACACAGGTGAATAAACTGAACACAAACGAGGAGCGGGAAAACTGGAACACAGGACTGAACCAAAAACACTAAGCAGGGGGAAACACATGTAACATTACGCCCCCTCCCAAAAAGGCATGTCCCCACGCCGTATAAACATCAAATAGGGGCGGGAGGGTGGGCGCCCTGGAGGCTGACGAGAGCGTGGCTTTCCCGGAACAGGAAGCCTCCAGGGCGGAGCAAGTTGTGCAGGTGGCTAGGGTGGAGACGCCCCTTCGGGTGGCCAGGGCGGAGACGCCCCTTCGGGTGGCCATGGCGGAGACGCCCCTTCGGGTGGCCATGGCGGAGACGCCCCTTCGGGTGGCCATGGCGGAGACGCCCCTTCGGGAGGCCATGGCGGAGTCCTATATCCCCCCCCCAAATTTTCTTGGGGAGAGTGACAGGCTCCGGGACGTGCTCAAGGACAGGCTTGGGAGGGCTGGACGGGACCAGCTGAGAAGGCTCGGGAGGGCTGAAGAGAAGCTCTGGCTCGGCAGGCGTGACGTGAAGCTCTGGCTCGGCAGGCGTGACATGCATAGTCTCTGCGTGCCTGATATACACCAGCGGTGAAGAGGGTTTTGTACTGGATGGAACCAGTGGCAAAGAGGGCTTGGTGCTGGACGGAACCAGCGGCGAAAAGGGCTTGGTGCTGGACGGAACCAGCGGCGAAAAGGGCTTGGTGCTGGACGGAACCAGCGGCGAAGTGGGCTTGGTGCTGGACGGAACTAGCGGTGAAGAGGGCTTAGAACGGACGGTCTCTGGCTGGACGGTCTCTGGCGGGACGGTCGGTCTCTGGCGGGACGGTCTCAGGCACAGGATCAGCGGGCTTTGGCGCAAGATCATGGATGGATGGCGTGGCGATGATGGCTGGAGCCATCACTGGGGTGATGGTGATGCGGAGACCTCTCTCAATCAGGATCCTGATGAGGTAGTCAGGTCATGGCCAGCCAAGTCCATCTTTTGGTCCGTTATTCTGTTTTGATGTGTGGTGGTAGGAAGGATGAGAAGACGAGGATGATCAGGAAAACAGGATTTAATTAACAAAACTCAGGAACTACAACACACGCTACACATTAACGAGAACGGACAAAGACTGAATGAACTGAGGGAAACTAAATACAGAGACTGATGACAATAATGAATAGGAGACAGGTGACATGGATGAAGATAATTAACTAAACACAGGTGAATAAACTGAACACAAACGAGGAGCGGGAAAACTGGAACACAGGACTGAACCAAAAACACTAAGCAGGGGGAAACACAGGACACACATGTAACAATGATGCTCAAAAGGAGTAGGCAGAAGCTTAAGCTTATTGACGCCTACCCCCTTTTATACATTTGAGCAGTAGTTACATTTACTACAATCAAGAAGACAATTGACACATATTTATGTTGAACTTTTCCAGTGACTATACAATCAACAATATTAACTCAAAACCATTCTGATGATTCCAAGACAAGGAAAGAAGAATCGTCAATTAGTACCCTTTCCTAGCCTGGTTAAAACCAGACCATTCTCAGTTGTAACTGAGTTATGGTCTGGCAAAGCGTCATAGACAAATCATTTCCAGAGGGGCGTCACCAACGGACATCGCGGATAGACCTAAAACCAATCAGAGCGATGAAGGAGATGACGTATGCAGAGCGGCGGAGAATCTCCGAGTGTTGTTTTTTGCTCGGTTTTTAACAAAAAGGAAACGTTCAAATCGCTTAAAACAGACGCGATAGCTGATTCGAACGAGTGATGTTCGACGGTGGCATCCATCTTTGTAATGTAGGCTACAAAATCTGCTTCAAAATCCCAGCGCTGTCGTCATCGTATAAAGCCCGCCCCAACGTTTCTGATTGGTGCCGCGATTTCGACGGATTGGAAATGGGCTTGAATGAGCTCTTTGCCAGACTAACTTTCAGAGCAAATCTAAATTTGCTGGAAGTTGTCTGGGTTTTCCCAGGCTAAACCTTTCCACATTTAAGGATATTCAATTCACTTTTATTCCACAAGGTGGCAATGTCTGATACACAATGATGAAGTGACGTTTCACTCATAGTTACCGCAGGCAGAAAATAAAAGACTAGGAAGTATCATCTGCAAAACTTGAAAAATGACTCAGCGATTTACTGCAGAGCAAGTACTGAACGCAATCAAATATAAGTGTCACTGTCACTTGATGGTGGATCACTTTTGATCAATTTAATGCATCCTTGCTGAATAAATTTTTTATTATTATTATTATTTATCTCACTGATTCCAAACTTTTTAATGGTAGTGTAAATGTCATCAAATAACATGAACCTTTATATCAGTTATATCATATTGATGTTTTATTGTCTGATATTCCAGGTGACAATGAAGTTTGACAGCATTCTGGACAAGGCAGATGGGTTTGGCCGTTACCAGATTGCACTGGCCTTGCTGCTGTTCATACCTCGCATCACCATCCCATGTCATTTCCTGCTGAACAATTTTATAGCCGCCATCCCATCTCATCACTGTGACATCAGCTCTCTGGATGCTGACAGGATCCTTGGGAATCTGAGTCGAGAAGAGAGACTGACTGTCAGTATTCCTGCACAGGAGGATGGGACTCCTGCTTCCTGTCACATATTCTCGTATCCTCAGTTCCACCTGCTGATGAACTCCTCCAGCAGCACAGAACGTCCTGTAGTGGAGTGTCAGAATGGATGGGAGTATGACAACAGCACATTCATCAGCACTCTCGCCACACAGGTAAAGTCTCATGATTGTGTATCCCATAGATAGATCTTTCTCTGCCCTCTCACAGTTTTTTTTTCCTGTTTCTCTCTCTTTAATTTCTCAATCAGTTTGATTTAGTTTGTGACAAGAGGGGACTGGCCAAAACATCAGTCACCATATTTTTTTGTGGCGTCATGGCTGGAGCTGTGTTCTTTGGAGTGCTCTGTGATAAGTAAAAAAAACAATATCCTCCTTTAAGAATCTTTCAGCAGTGTGATATAGTAACACAGAGAGATAGTTTGATTACACATTTCATATTATGAATGCAGTATTAATGCTCTGGAGGGTCATTGCTCATGTATGTGTTGTTTTCAGGTATGGCCGTCGGAGCATGTTGCTGGTGTCCTATGTGTTATCTATAGTGTTCAGTGTTGCTAGTGCTTTCTCAAGCACCTACATCATGTTTGCTGCCTTCCGCTTCCTGACTGGATTGGCATTGACGGGAATCGTCAACATATCTGTTGGGCTCAGTAGGTCTTCTCTGAAACCCAACTGCCTTAATTCTTCTTTGCTCTGTATTGTTCCTCTCCATTGTATCCCTTCCTAGGACTCAGAGACATTAAGCCGTTTGTCCAGTCTGAACGCTTTAGGGTCCAAAATGAAAAGAGTTCAATCTTAACAAGGTCAATCATTTGACTGCACTGACATTGATGATGACACTTCTGTAGAGCTGCTTTATAGCTGAATCAAATTTGTTGTGAAGCTGCTGTAAAACTATCTGTATTGTATATGTAACGAAGGCCAGCTAGTAAGAGCTGTGCAGGAAAAAAAAATCTTTCTCCCCTGATCTCAAGAGGAAACTGCTGTCTTTGGTTTCCTTGTTAGAGGGCCCCCCTCTCATGCCGGAGACCCATTTTCGAGGCGAGTAGGACCTGAGGGGTTACATAAAGCATATAAAGGTGAAAAGGTGAATTACAAAGTTATAGGCTTATAAAAAAATATTTTTAAGTATTAAAAATTGTTTTATTAACCTGTTAAGTGTCACCCCCCCCCCCCCCCCCCCCCTTTTTTTTTTGAATATTTACATGAAAATGCACATTTTGAACTTAAAGGGATAGTTCGGCCAAAAATGATATTTAACACATGCATTACTCACCCTCAAGCCGTTCGAGATGCATATGTCAATCTTGTTTCAGACGAACATATTTTCAGTTATTTTAGAAAATGTCTTAGACCCTTCAGTGGATATAATGTGAAGCAATGGGGTCCACCTCCTTCAAGTCCCAAAATGTGCATACATCCTTCACAAAAGTAATCCATCCGGCTCCAGGGGGATAAACGAAGGCCTTCTGAGGGTAATCCGTGCGGTTTTGTCGTAAAAATATACATATTTAAAACTTTATAAATGAAAATATCTGACTTCCGGCAACGATCGACGCGCGTTCACGGGTGATGGAAGTCGGCGTACGAGGTATGACGTAGCGTAGGAACCGTCGTGACGTAGAACGAACGCGCCTGCGCAGCCAGAGAGCAGAGCAAAACAAAACTACACTCAGTTCACCCGTGAACGCGCGTCGATCGTTGCCGGAAGTCAGATATTTTCATTTATAAAGTTTTAAATATGTATATTTTTACGACAAAACCGCACGGATTACCCTCAGAAGGCCTTCGTTTATCCCCCTGGAGCCGGATGGATTACTTTTGTGAAGGATGTATGCACATTTTGGGACTTGAAGGAGGTGGACCCCATTGCTTCACATTATATCCACTGAAGGGTCTAAGACATTTTCTAAAATAACTGAAAATGTGTTCGTCTGAAACAAGATTGACATATGCATCTCGAACGGCTTGAGGGTGAGTAATGCATGTGTTAAATATCATTTTTGGCCGAACTATCCCTTTAAATGGTTGTAATTCAAGAATGATTTGGAATATAGACGTAAGATTGGTCTCGTTTTAAAGAAGACATTTGGCAGATTTTTGTAGAAGTGAAATAAATTAAGAAAGTGAAAGAGAAAAAAAAGTTATAGAAGTTTGAGTTTATGAAAATGTACAATGTAAAAAATGTAATTATTCATATTTTATATAAAATATATATTTTAAAAACCTGGGCGACTCTAAAACTGCAAAAAAATCAAAGCCAAAAATCTGAACAAGTTGTGTTTCAAATTTTAGGTTGATATCTCAAAAAATGAGCTTTCAGTAAGATTTTGTTTGGGCACAGTACCAAACTTTTTCACATAGATGACAACCAGTCTCCATTACTGCCCATATAAGGGCGCCTCCATTTCCATATGTGATTTTGATATGAATTCAACCTCTAAGAAACAACAAGTAGGCCTATGTGCGTTATAGCTTCCTGCCACATCACAAATGGTGAATCTGTCATTTTTTTCTTTATATTTAAAAAAAATTCCAGGTCTCTAATTTCGCTACCAACTCAAATAGGCTGCATAGATCCCTGGCGCTTTTTTCATCCCTCTGACAAGGTATTTTCTTTCTTCTCTGGTGTGCACCATGTTTACTCTCGGATTGATTATTTCTTCCTTGATAAATCCCTTCTTTCTTCGGTTATTTCTTCAGATTACTCTGCCATTGTTATTTCTGATGCCCCGCATATGTTAGATATTTCCTTTATGCCGGCTTTTAAGAGCCAACCTCAGTGGAAATTCGCTGCAGGGCTTCTTGCCAGAACTGACTTCTGCGAATTTCTAACCAAAAATATAGACTTTTTCATTGAGACTAACAAAACGGAAACCGTGTCTGATTCTCTTCTGTGGGAGACATTTAAAGCGTTTATTCGTGGTCGAATCATTTCCTTTAGTGCTCACTTAGCCAAGCGATCCCAAACCTGATCTTAAGTTAAAACGTTCGAGGTTAACTGAATTTGATTTGCTTTCAACAAATAAAGCCGAATATTTGATTAAAAGAACTAGAGCCACCTATTATGAACATGGGGATAGAGCAGGCCGTCTTCTTGCCTCCCAGCTTAAACATCAGTCAGCATCACGCTACATCACGCAGATTTATGATAACCATTCTAATGAGCTCGTTACTGACCCCCAAAAAAATAACTCTGTCTTTTCCTCCTTTTACTCCAGTCTTTAAACTTCTCAACCTCCTTCTGATGCTTCCTCAATGGAGTCTTTTCTACATAATTTAAGTATACCCACTATTAATACATTAAGATGTACCTCTCAGGCTAGATGAAATTACCACCTGCATTGGTCTCATGCAGTGTAACAAGGCTCCAGGGCCTGACGGCTTCCCCTTAGACTTTTATACGAAATTTTCAGCACAGTTAGCCCCCTTATTGTTTGATATGTATAAGGAGTCATTTGAGCAGGGTTTTCTCCCGGCCTCATCAAATCAAGCATCTATCTCTCTTTTATTAAAAAAAAATAAAGACTCAGCTTTATGTAGTAGCTAGCTATAGACCTATTAGTTTATTGAATGCTGACATTAAAATTCTAGCAAAGGTGATGGCAAAGCGCATCGATGCATGTCTTCCTGATATTATTTCTGACGATCAGACCGGGTTTATTAGGGGACGTCAGATGTCATCTAATATCCGGCGATTGCTAAATACCTTTGAAATGATAATTTCTCTTGATGCTGAAAAAACATTTGACCGTGTGAAATGGAATTATTTATTTACTGTATTAAAAAAGTTTGGCTTTGGGCACAATATTATCTCATGGACTCGCCTTCTATATTCAGCTCCCTCTGCTAGTGTTAAAACTAATGCTGATAGTTCATCATTCTTTTCCCTCTCCCGTGGGACGCGGCAGGGTTGCCCTCTGTCTCCTTTGCTCTTTGCTTTAGCTATTGAGCCACTTTCTATCGCCTTAAAGGCATCTTCGTCTATATGCGGGATCCATAGGGGAGGCACAGAACACCGTGTTTCTCTCTATGCCGACGACTTGTTGTTATAAGATCCAGTTGGCTGCGCCAACGAGATTATGCACTTGCTCGACACCTTTGGCTCATTTTCAGGTTACAAATTAAACTTTACCAAAAGTGAATGTTTCCCCATAAATGACGTGGCTAAAAAGATTTCTAAAGGTACACTACCTTTTAATTTTTCTCCTTCAGGGTTTCGATATTTAGGTGTAAACATTTCACACTCTTTCAGTTCTATCTTTAAGAATAACTTTACAAATCTGGTTGATCAAATTAAACTAGACTTAAAACGATGGGGCGGCCTACCCCTTTCTCTTGTTGGGAGAGTGGAGACCATTAAAATGAATGTTTTGCCGCGGCTTTTATTTCTCTTCCAGTCTCTCCCTCTTTTTCTACCTAAATCTTTTTTTGAATGTCTAGATAAAACCATCTCCTCGTTTATTTGGGCTGGTAAAATTCCTAAAGTGAATAAAATATCCTGCAACGACATAAACGTGATGGAGGTCTAGCTCTGCTAAATTTTATTTTTTATTACTGGTCCGCCAACATTTCTAAGATTTTCTTGTGGTGTAATGCGCCGAAGGTTAACTGGTGTACTCAAGAAGCTGCTACTTGTCTTTCTTCTTCTCTTCCTGCACTTGTCTTTGCTCCTTTGTCTCTGCATCCCTCTAATTATACTAGAAATCCTATTGTGCTATCAACTTTAAAAATCTGGAAACAATTTCGACAACATTTTCTTAAGTCCAATTTGCAACAATCACTTGTTTTTACCACCAGCTATTGATCACACTTTTAAAAGATGGAAAGATAAGGGGATGGCCTGTTTTTCAGATCTTTTTATTGATAAATCTTTTGCTTCATTCACCAATATTATGTCCAAATTTAACCTGCATACTACAGGCTTATTCAGGTATTTACAACTCCGCAGTTTTGTTAAGACGAACTTAGTTCCCTTTCGTAGTCACTCCGAGTTACGTCGGATGACGGAGAATGGGGGTTTCGCCAGAAAGCCAATCCTCTTCGAGTATTAAAAAACGAGCCAATGGCAAAGAAATGCCATGGGTCTGCGGAATTTGCATAATGTATCTCCGCCTCACCGCGTGAGTATTTAAGGAGAGACACCTGCAACAGCAGATCATGTTTTCGCTTCGGAGCCAAGAGAACCTCTTCACTCCACAGCCACAAGACCTGAGTTTACAAGTGACTCACCTCTTCGAGACGAGCGAACTCTCCAGTGTTGGTGTGACGGCGGTACCCAGCGAGTCTTCACATTGCCTGCGATCTGTGCAGTGGTCTGCCTGACTTTGTGTTTTCTCCCTGGTCGCCTCAGCATTGCAGAGTTTTTCCTCTCCTAAAAGAGCTGCACGTGGCACGTCTTTTTAAAGATGTCTCGCCCGTGTTCTTCTGGTTGCGGTCGATATCTGTCATCTTCTGATGGGCACGAGCGCTGCTTTGTGTGTCTGGGCTTTGAGCACGCTAAAGCAGCACTCGTGGATGACTCATGTTCCTTCTGTGGGAACATGGCCATCGCAATACTTAGATTGAGACTCAATGATCTTTCAGTGAGAGTCCCCGCGTCCACCACCCGTTCTGCTTCCTCCACGAGAGGTGGTAGTTCGGCTGGGGG